CATGAAGCCGTGGAGACCGTGGGCTTTCCGGATCAGCTCTGGGCCCTGGGTTGGTGGAAGAAAGGGCCAGGTCAGTGATGAGCGCGATTCTGGATCTCATGTTGGGAGGGGCAGGGCTGGCCAGCTTCGATCCTCCCTGGCTCTCTCATGCCCAGCACAAGACCTGGGCCGCCCCGAGAATTCGATACGCGATTGACATTTGGAGGCGTGCCCGGGCCTAGGGAATATTCGCTCCAGGGCTCCCCACGCCCTGCCGCCGCCCCGCCCGGGCGGGGCTCGCCCACCGGCCTCAGACCCAGATGGTAAGTGTTGCCAAGGCAGATGCGGCAGCCCAGCGCGTCCAGTTGCTCGGCCGTGATGCCCTTCATGGTGGCCTGCGTGCCCACTGGCATGAACACTGGAGTGGCCACCGGCCCATGCTGCAGCCGCAGCTCGCCTGCTCGGGCCCTGGAGCGGCTACACTCGGCCACCAACCGCATGATCCGCGGGGCGGACTCTAAGGAAGTTGGGCTGGCCGCTGCCGCCATCTTGACTGCCGGGACCACGTGGATATTGGAACACCATGGGCGGTGCCATATTGGCTGGTGTCACGTGTTGCGCAACGCGAACTAAAGCTCTGAGAGCGTCGAGGCCATGGCAACGGACGCCAGCGCGCTCGTCCCCGCGGAGCGTCCAGTCCGCTCCCCAGAGCCGCGCGCTGGCACGAGTAATCAAAATTGTGTTGGTTTCAATCCCATCCCGGATACTTCCTCGCTCTACAACCAAAGCCTGTCTGAGCCATAATTTTTTTTCTCCATAAAATAGAATGAATAATATAACAAATCGGCATAAAAATGTGAAGATTGAATAAGACTGATGGATGTATAGACATCTTAACAAGGTGCCTAGTACAGGCTTTTGTCTATTTTGTACATTGATATGTCCCAAAAGCTTAGGACAGGACCTAGCACACAGTACGTGCTCAATAAACATTTATTTATTCAATGAAAGAAGGAATCCCAGACTTACAGAAGAGACTGAGGCCCAGAGCCTGGCTACATTTATTCATTCATTCATGCAGTGTACACCTACATATATATCCTCAATAATGACAGCCTCCATGCTACACAGGGATGAGAGAGGCTAAGTCACGGATTTATTGAGGGCTTGTTATGTTCCACTAATAATAATATAAAATATAAAATAATCGCTATCGTTGTTGAAAAATGAGCTGGTATCTGTTATGGCCAGCAGAGGGCGCCATTGCCCCCAGAATACTCCTCAGAGGACCACTAGACTAAACTGGGCTGATCTGAGCAGCTCTGACCGTCTGTCTCTACAAACCCTTAATGCCGATTTCTCAGGGTGATGGAGAGTCCCTACGTCTGGAGAACACCTACTACCCAGGAGGACCACCACAGGTCCTTTGCACTTGCTCTCCCCTTTGAAACACTCTTCCTTCCTGTTCACTCTTTCTCCATACATAGCTCACAATTTCACCATCAATTGCTTCTGACTCCCACAATCTTAAGAATGCTGCACGCCCCCATTACTCTATACGCCTGTAACTCATTATACTATTTAGAACCTCTACACCTTGACAATGTGCGCCTTTTTACTCCCATTTTAGTCCTCTCCCCTGAATTCCCATTCCCCCTTTACAGATCCCTCCTTGACATGTCCACTGGGTGTCCATAGGCACCGAAACTGTATGTTCAAAGCAAGATCCAAGCTTGCCTTCCCCCTTCAATGTTCCCCTTCTGAGTGAAAGCAGCTCAGTCCTTCCAGAAGTTCAAATCAGAAACTGAAGGACTGCCCTTGAGCTGTCACTGTCTCACTCCCTATATCTGATTTATCAAAAATAAGGCTGCTCTGCTTTCAAAATCTGTCAGTCACTTACCAGGTCTCGTGTTGATTCTCCACCTGAATTGTGAGTAATCTGCTTCTACAGACAGGCAAGGATGCAATGAGTAACCTTGCATTTAGGTCATTTCACATAGCAGCAAATATATCTTTAGGAAAAATTCCCAGCACCTAGATGACTTGGTCAAAGAGCATGATATAAGATATGACTAAATACTCTCTATAGGGTTTTGACAGTTGCGCCTGGACCAGCCAGCAGTATGTGGAAGTGCCTGTTTCCGCACAGCTTCTCCAATACAATTTCACCTACCCACTTCATAGGACTGTGGAACTCTGTGTCATTTTTAATGTGCATTTCTCTTATTCCCAGTGAGGTTTGTTTGGCATCTATACTTAATGGCCACCTTTTTGAAACACTGCCTTTCTATATAATTTTCCTGGCCTCATCCTCATGTTTTGCTTTCTTTTCAGTTTTTTTTCCTTCATTTACTCAATAATATAATGATTAAGAGCCAACACTGTCAACACTAATGGAGCAGTATGCCCAGTAAACCCTACACTATCATTGCTTCATTTGACACTCACCATACAAGGTGGTGGGTACTATTACCATCCCATTTTATGAATGAAGGAACTGAAGCAGAGATGTTTGCTGACTTGCTTATGGTCACATGTCTTGTAACAGGAATTGAAATCTAGTCCTCTCTGAGGTCTATGAAGCCTCCCTCTTACTCAGTTTCTTTTCCTGAAGGAGAAGGCAGTATTAAGGACTATGGTACAGAGCAGGGGTGAAAGGCTGCAGCCAGATGGATCCGTAAGGTGGGATTCAGGCTCTGCCACTCAGAAGCCACATAGGAAGTGACTCTGATCAGATGATGGCTACTTTCTGAGTCTCAGTTTCTTCACCTTTAAATCGGGGCAGAGGTACACGGGACCTGGGACACGGTAAGTGCCCAAATACATACAGGAATACACATCCAATAAGCATTATGGAGCACCCACTCTGTCAGGCTGTATACTCATTGCTGGCAACACAGCGGTGAACAAGCAGGCAAAAATCCATACCCTGGGAGAGTGATCAAGAAAAATAAGTAAAACATATCTCAGGTGGTGATGGTGATGAGTGCTGGGGGATGATACAGAGGGCAAGGAAGCCAAGAAGTTGAAGGCGACTATTTTAAGGGGGATGGTCAGGATCAGACCAGACTCACTGAGGTGAGATTCAAGTTAAGGCCTGAAGAAGAGGGACGAGGCATGAGATCTGAGAGCATGTCAGGCCGTGGGAACAATGAGAGCAAAGGCCCTGTGGTGCGAATATGCCTGGAGTGTCTGAGGTGCAGCGCGGAGGTCCGTGTGGCTCAGGGTGTGCGGGAAGGAGCTAAAGATGAGGGTGAGAAGGTCAAAGCGACAGGTCCTCAAGACCTCTGGTTTGAGGTGAGGACTCAGGCTTTCGTCTGAGCCAGATGGGAGGGTGGGGGTTTCTTGGCAGCGCGTGGAGTGAAGCGAGCTGTCACCAAGAAGTAAAGTCATGGGTGGAGGTGGGGTGTAGCCGAGGTTCGGTGGCATCTGCTTTCAGGTTTGGGCTCCGCTCGGCAGGGAATGCTGAGATCGCGGATTTCAGAACGCTGGACAGCGCCGCGCGTTGCCTGGCGACCAGGGAAGCGCCCCGGGGGCGGAGCCTGAGAGTCCTATTAGAAGCGGTGAGCTGTGCGCACAGGCCGCGGGGGCGTGGCTGGAGGCGGAGCTTACGACGTCCAATTGCCAGTTTGCTGACCTCAGAGATGCGGTGGGCCAGTCACCGGGCGGAGACTGCCTGGGGCGGAGCTCGGGAAAAGCGCCTATTTGGAAGACGACACCTTATTTGGGCAAGGAAGGGGGAGCGGGGAGCGCTGGGCGGCCTGGGGGCGAACTGGTGGTGGCGTGGAAGTTCGCAAAAGCGGGACCTGGGCCGGTTTCTCCGCGCCTCACATGGAGGGGCGCGCATCTGCAGACTAGACCTACTAGTTTTCAGTAGATCCCCACCTCCCCTTCCCTTGGGATTGCTGCAGCTGCCCGAGAGTTTCTCCCAAACCGAGTGGGTGGTTGGCCTTCAGAGCTGGGGACTGAGGACCTGGGACCAAGAAAGGCAGAAGTCGTGTTTCTGGGCTCCGAGAGGGCAATCCAGAACCTCTGGAAGAGTGTTGGGGGCTTCAAATACCTTTTGTTTAAATTAGAGCCCTGGAGCCCAGGAGTCCGGTGGTTGTCTCTAGAGGTTGTTTTCTCTGGTTTATCCAGGCGGGAGTGGGGCTGCCGGTGATAATAATCTGGCGAGGGTGCCCAGTAGGCTGAGCTTAGGTACCAGCTTCTTGCGCAACACTGGGAAGTCCACGGGCGCAGGACTGACTTCCGGGTAGTGACCTCTGTGGCCAATTCCTTGGCATTTCTGCTCGCCTCCCCACAGCACAGCAGAGAGCATTGATCCCAGGCCCTTTGCTTCCTGGATCCGGAGGCAAGGCCGGGCCCCTCTGGATCTGCCTGAGACAGGCAGTTTTCACCCTTCCTAGGCAGGAGCTGTTTCCTCACCAAGTTCAGCGGACTCTGCTGCCTAAGTCACTCCAAACCTCAACTCGGATATTCCAGAACTCAAAGGTTTTTGCTGGCCACCTGGCCTCCATTCCAACCTCTCCCCACACATCTACTCCCTGGCCAACAGCTGCAAGGGCTGTTCTGCAAAGCATGACCCAGCCTGGGTTCTTCCCAGCTCAGAACCCTTCCATGGCGCCCCACTGCCCTAAACCAAGATCGGAACTCCTCTGCTTGGCCGTCAAGGCCCTGGACGGGGTGGCCCCGCTGACATCCAGTCACACCTTTCCCCCCACGCGTCCAACTTCAGCTTCTTGATGTCAATTCCCACCACCCAGTTATTTTTGCACATGCTGTTCCCTCTCACGGTATGGACTTCACTCACCCTAACACATCCGGTCCCGATTGAACCACCCAGTCCTGCTTGAAACACGGAAGCTTTCTTTCGACACTCCCTGCCTGAGCTGGGACAGGGACCTCTTGTTGCCTGCAAGTTCCGAGAGGGCAAGAAGCAGGTTCACTGCTATATTCCCAGGGTCCAGTACTGGACTGATAAACACCACGCAATAAATACATGTGGAGGGAAGGAAACAATGAACATGTGAAGTTTTCATTTATTCTGCCATGGGTGAAAATGACCATTTGGGCCAAGGCTTGCTGTACTGTTGCCCCAAATTGTTTTGAGAGGTCTCAGAGCACAGCCAGCGTAGGGCTCACCTTGAGGCCCACAGCCCCGCTGCAGAGGGCCAGGCCTAGGTGACCGTATCTGAGTCCTTAGGGGCAGGGCAGGCCCTGATGACTACACAATAATGGTTAGTGGTCAGGAGGAGAGTGAAATGTTTCCTTGCTAGGGAGGAATATAGCGGGGCAGCTGGATGGTGACTTCAGATCAGACTGGGCCCCAGCCCAGAAGGACAATCAGGGCCACAGTGACTCACCTATATATAGAGAGAAATCCTGGGTCTGCGCCCCCATTACTGCCCAGACACCCCCTTTCGTCACCAACTTCCAATGCCTCCCCCTGGAATCAGTCCAAACGGCCTGCAAGCACTCCCCACCCCCACCGTCTGAGGTCAATCTCAGCCCACCACACACATGTCCAGCTGGTCTGTCATGAGGTCTTTCTCCCTTCCTTCCAAAGGCATCCTGAGCCTTCTGGGGTAGTGCGTCCAGTCCTGGGTCACTGATCCCTGGGCCTATCCACCAGGACACCCCATCCTGATCAACCTGCTGATCAAGTGTGCACACCACCAGTCTCTTCTGCTGATGTTTCTGATCTCTGTTGGTGACAAAATGCATGACACCTTCCTCCAGCAGCACGTGGGCCAAGGATTCGCCGGAGCCACAGCTTAGTGAGAACCTCCTCCATGCAGACTTCCTGGGCTTGGAAAACCTTGGTTAGCGCTAAATAGGTGACACACGAGCGCCCAGGCCTTCTCCAGTGCTCAACCTGTCAGCCACATCTTCCTGAACCCAGCTTCCTGGGACGGCAGATCCTGAAGGCTGAGATACCGCTGCTGGCCGCTGGCACCAATAGGGTCCCCCAGCACAGTTAGAGTGTCAAGAGATCTGTGCTGCTATCTAGACTTGACCACAGTGATCCTAGCCAAGGCCAATCAACTCGCAGGGCTATGCCAGCTGGGCTGAGAGTGGAACCTTCACTCAGCCGTGCAGTGGGTTGAATGGTATCCCCCCAGAGAGTATGTCCAAGTCCTAATAGCTAATACCTATGAACGTGACCTACTTGGAAAGAGTCTTTGTAGATCTAGTTAAGGATCTTGAAATGAGCTCCTCCTAGATTAGGGTGGACCCTAAATCCAATGACTGGTGTCCTCACAAAACAAGAGGAAGTAGCTCTGAGACAGAGACTCACAGGGAGAAGATCGTGCGGAGATGCAGGCAGACTGGAGTGATGCTGTCGCAAGCCAGGGAATGCCAGGAGCCACAAGAAGCTGGGAGAGACGAGCCACGATCCTGCTGCTCAGATGTGCTCCATGCTCTTGGCAATGAACTTCTTTCAGATCAACAAAAATCATCCTGGCCCTGGGAGCGACTCTGGCTAGACCCAGAGACTCCAGACTGGCACCCACTCAGATAAGCTGCCGGGGCCTGGCCCTGCCTCACAGAGGATGACCACGGCACCAGGTCCCAGCTCCCTGAGGGCTTGTCTCCGCATCAAGACAGCCTGGAACAGCTTTCTCCACCGCCTTTGTCAGGATTCCTGCTCTTGGTAGATCTGCATTCAGATACTGACCGTGGCGGTGCTGGTGGCTGCTTGGAAACTGGTCACAGGCTGACACTGTTCAGGATGCAGGCCCAGGGTGAAGGCCTTAGGCAGGTAGGCTCGGTGGTCCACCCCTGTGATTTCTGAGTGATGGGGGTTCCATCCACACAAGCTGAACCCTCTCACCTCAAACACAAGGTCCCGATGATCTTGCGTGGGTCTCTGTCCTATAGCGCCTCAGTGCATCTGGGAGAGAAGACACAGGCCATGGACGCTTCCCATCAAAGCTGGGGCGGGGACCCATCCCTCAGATCTGCCTCGTCACCACTGGTGCACACCCTCGAGGGTCTCAGGGCACTGCAGGCCACCTCTCGGCCTGGCTTCACGTGGGACCTTCTCCCTGGGCTTGATCCCCTGGACCCTGGGGCCCCCTGTGCTCCAGCAGAAAGCCAACTTCTTCCAATGTCTATTTTTTAGTACAGAAGCTTTCTTTTGCCTCTCAAAGAAGGCACCTCTTCATCCTTTGAAGGCACACTGGATTTTCTGCATCAGTTGAGTGATTCTAAGTCAAGAATGGTTTTGAGCTTTTCTCAAAGGCTGTGGTTAATACAAGCACAGGAGGTGCCTGGGGGAGAGGCAGTGGACAGCGCCTGGTCTGAGGGATGAGAAGGAAGCCTGCAGAGGGCGGCCTCAGGCCCTGTCCTCGGGGCTCTTCCCAGAGGCCCAGCTGCAGCCTGCGTAAAGGCAGCCGGAGCTGACGTTCAGCAGCATCCTTGGCCTCTGCCACGCTAACAAACGTCCCCAAACACTCCAAAATCGCGCAGGACTGAGAAGCACTGCTCTAAGGAATCTTGTGGGGACAGGGTGGGCCACTAAAAAGAACCCCGACTGTGTACTTGGAGCCTCTGGATAGGGGTTGGCACCAGGGGGGCAAGGCTGCAGCCACAGGCACAAAGCGTCCTTCCAGCACAGACGGTTCCGTGGCAGAGTTCCCAAGACCCCAAGGTGCTTCAGCCAGACTCAATCAGCCTTTTTCAAATTAGGTTACACGTACCACACCTACGAGGACATTTTACTCCATGGTGATGGCAAATTGCCCATAACACTATAACCAGAATTCACAGAGCAGAAAACAAAACATGCTGAATTACGTGCCCAAGCCCCAGCAGGGGCCGCTGTAAGCTGCTCCGCAGGCTACCAGGAGCAGGCGGTGGACCCTGCAGGGACACCTGTCTGGAAGTTCCCAGGTAATGACGGACTGGCCCCAGCCAACCTTGGAGCAAAGGCATCTAGAGGCCTGGAGCTGGGCCCTCTCTAGTGGCCGGGGACTGCCCTGCCGTCCCCGCCCTGCTTCCCTTTTGCTGGGAACAGTCAAGGAACCTACCCATCGCACTGCTGGTGGGTCAGACACCCAGGCCTATGACGGGCGTGGTTTTCTTTTTCTTTATTTGTCTACATTCAGCTTAATTCAGATGTGCTGCCTGAATGATCCAGACATACAAAAAAAACCCACTCTTTCCCACTGGTTTTTAAAATAAAATCTTCACTTATAAAACTGAAACACTAAAGCATTAAAATACAGAAAGCTTGTTTAACTCACTTCACAAAAGCATTAACAAATGACGTATCCCTTCTGTAACTATTTGAAGACAAACTGAGTTAACACTAATACCAATTGTAAATAGACAGAGGGATACTTAACTGTAAAAACTCAAAAAAACTACTTGGACAAAGTTGTAATGGCAACTAACAAACCACTGAAGACACGGAGTCCCAAACACAGCTAAATATGGGTCACAGGACGGGTCATGGGAGTGACCAGCTGCACCTCACAACACGGTAACGTGGACAGGGCAGGGCAGGGCGGAGAGGCCTGGGGGGGGCCGGCTGACATGTTAACTGTGATGCATAAAACTGAATCTTACAATGGGGTGGGGTAAGTGCAGAAGGTACAAATCTTCACCCCTCGGGGCTTTATCTGTACTGGTAGTTCATGCTGTGGTCTGCGTTTCTGCCGTAGCCGCCCTGTGAGGACTGGTAGGAGCTGGGAGGGCCGCTGTAACTCTGCCCGGACCCTGGGGAATTGTAGTTCGACTGTGATGAGTAGCCTCCTAAGGGAGAGAGGGCAGGTTAGAGGGGAGGGGCACGGCCCACCCCTGGGACCACAGCTTAGGACATGGCCAACCCAGCTGCGCCCACCAGCAAGCTGGCAACAGGTGGCTCCGCTTGCTCTAACTGCTGTTCCTGAGTCACCATGTCTGCTGGTCACCAGCTCCCTGTGAGGTGGGACCATCAGTCCCGGGTTTACGGTGAGGGCGGGGGGGTATCTGCCCAGGAGCAGATGTATCTGAAATGGGCTGTAATGGGCTGAGCCTGCCGTCCTGAACCAGGGGCCACCCATCGGGCTAACCCTCAGTGCCATCAGCATTTTTCCACAGAGGGGACAACATTTAGGAGTAGCCCAACTCCTAGGTGTCTGGCTTCTGAGAACCCAAGAAGCTGGAGGGGTGCCTAAGCCTGTGTTCTTTATGGGCTGGGTGCCCCCATCGCCCACTCTGTTTTGCCCCATATGGAGCCAGGCAGCAGCTGCCATGGTAGCCCCACCATCCTCACAGCATCTGCGTTCATCCCCAATGGCTCTGAGTTCATGACCCCCCATGTGGTGCCACCTGCCACTCCAGGCCCACCTTGTTTGCCTTGGTAGGAGCCGCCGCCCCCAGAGCCTCCACCGTAGCCCCCGTGTGACCCTGGGTTGTAGGATGACCCTCCTGAGCCATAGCTGCTCCCGCCGCTTCGGCCTCCACTACCACTGTAGTCTGGGGAGAGAAGACAGCGTGTTACAGGCCTGGGGCAGACATGGCTGGGGTGGCCCTGGTTTCTTATGCTGGGGCCCTCAAGGTGGCAGGCCCTTGTTTACACCCTAGGCCTCTGCAGCTCTCCCTGTCCTGACCACTTAAACTTGGCACCCGTGAGTCCGACCATGGAGTGCCAGGGTCCAGCTAGAATCCTGCAAGGCCACCGTACCCTGGGTCGGCTGGGTCACCAAGCTCTGAGGCCCAGGTCCATCCGCCTTCCCACCTGTTTGGGAGCTGCACAGTAGCCTGACTCCCACCAAGGCGGCACAGCTCCTGCAGTCCCCAGGCACACTGACCACTGCCCTGCCACAGGAGGTACTCGCCTATGTGTCCCGGCTGGGCCACCAGTGCTGTGGACCTGTGCTGGAGGCAGCTGGAGAAGTAATCAGGCTGTCTTAGAGGCTGTATGCAACTCTCCAGGCTGATGCCTGGAGATCACCTCACAGCAACTGGCCCAGCTCTGTCTCCACCCAGGCCCAGCCTCAACCCAAGCCTCCCCTAGACCAGCTTTTGGGGAAGGTGACAAGAAGGAACGGCCAGGACCTGGGCCAGAGGGACTTCCTAATGCCTCTAGGATCTTCCAAATGCCGGCCCTGCACCAGCACCACCTGGTTTTCTGCCAGTCCCTCAGCCAGGCTGGAGCAGGCCTGAGCTTCTGCCACTCTAGGGGACCCCAGCCAGGCCGCCGCAGTCCCTGAAGCCAACTCACTGAATTTGCTCTCGTAGCTGTAGTCTGATCCGCCCCCGCCCCCGGGGGAGCTGTAGGAGTTGGAGTAGGAGTAGTTGCCTTGGCCATGGTTGTAGCCTTTTGGCTTGCCCTGTGGCGGGCCGTAGCTGCTGTACTGGCTCTGGTTGTAGGACGGCTGCTGGCCTTGGTGGGATGGGTACCCGGAGCCATAGGAGGGCTTCTGCTGGCCCCCGTGAGGCTGCTTCTTGCTGGCATGCTTCGGGGGCACTGGGGAGTTGTAGTTGTCGCCTTGGTAGTAGGAGCTGTAGCCTGAGGAGCCACCACCGCCCCCGCCGCCGCCGCCACCGGCACTCCCAGAATGCCCTCCGTTACTGTAGAACTGACCTAAACAGGAAGGCAGCAGGTCAGGCGGAGAACAGGGAGACGGGGGAGGGACAGAGGGGCGGCTGCAGCTGTGGGCCCTGAAGGCTGACCCGTAAGTCCACTGCCCAGGCCAGGGCACGGGGAAAAGGAGGAAGAGCGAGGAGCAGTGGCTCCGGTCCTCAATGCAGCCTGGTTTGGGCTGGCCCAGCCTTCAGCTCCACTCACCGGTCAGCTGATGACAACAACGGATCTCTGCCAAGCAGCGTGCGACAGCAGTTTTTTCAGCAGATGTCAATGTTACAATGAGATGGGATCCGAGCACGGGATGACATTCATGACCAGCTGACTGCTACCCAGATGTCCCCAACGGCGACAGGAAAAGCAAAGCCCCAGAGAAGCAGCTGGCCACCCCCACCTCCCCCCAGCTGTGCTGACAGAGGCTCTGCAGCCATGGGCCTGGGCCACCCCAGGAGACATTCTTCAACTGATGTCATTCCTGGAAGACCAACTAGTCTGACCTGGTTCTTGGGAGGCATGAATGAGACTTAGCCAAATGACCTGGGGTGTCTACTGGTGTGACCCGGGCAAACACATGACTTAAGGAGTGACCCCAGAGCCTCTGAGGAAAGGAGGCTAAGACTGGGACCAGAACATCCAGGCAGGGCCTCAGGCGGCCCCCAAGAGGGAGCCTCCTTGCTCCCAGGACAGCTGCTGGGTGCAGGCAGGACGCAGCAGCAGACTGGCAAGCGGGCAGCGAGGGGCCCACATTCTCAGGCCCTGAAGCTGAGAATGCCATGGTAAGGCTCCCATTCTGGTCACTAAGTATGGGCCCCAGAAGACAGGTTGGTCAGCACACTGCCCCCGCCAGACACTTGGGTGGGCCGATGGGGATGGGTCAGCTAAGATCAGGTGGGGGAGGGGAGGACAGGTCACGTGGGTGGCTCTCCAGCCCAGCCAGGGGCCGCCGAGCATTCACGTGGGGCAGTGGAGGGCCTGGGCATATCTCAGTCTGCAGACAGTGGCTGGACCTTAGGGTAGATAGGAAGGGAAGGAGATGCTCCCCCACAGCCTTGTCCTTCCTCCCCAAGGGTCCCTAACCTTTTCGGTGGGGTTAATTTGGGGGTCCTCGTGTGCCCTCCACCCACTGGGAGCTGGGCACCCCACACTGCTGGGTCCTGGTTCATCTGAATCATAACCAGGACTGAACTGATCAGAGACATCAGTTTACTTCCTTTGGGCATTCTCCTCCACCCACCCCCATCAACAAAGCCAAAACAAGGGGAAGGCCGTGGCCCACAATGCAAGACAGCAAACATGCACAGGCTCAGCAGGGCGGCTGGAGGACAGGAGGCCCCTTGCAGACCCCTCAGTGCCACCACCTCAGCTGCCCTGGGCACCATCTTGCCCCTCCTCAAGCCCGGGAATGAATGAAGACACCAAGTACTGAGGGCTTGTTACTTTCACATGTATTGATTAAAAAAAAATAAAGGGGAGGGGAAGTTTTCAATGTCATTTCAGGATAACTATTTCCTGGTATAAAAAGACATTATTCTCAAACAATAACTTTCTAAAAAAAAATACATCATGCAATCAAAGTTTTAAAAAGTTTCACTGAATGTTTCAAACCTCTGCAAACAAATTCTGCAGTAACTGTTTTGACCAGTTTTTGTCTGAATGAAACACAAAATCTTGCAAGTCAACACAGAGGCAGGCTTCTCTGCAGAGAGAATGAATGAACTGCTGAGGGCCGACATGAGATGGGTCCCCACGGACTCCCATCAGGAGACGGGTCTCGGTAAAGAGCCTAAATAGCTCTGTGGGCCTCTGCACAGAGAGAAGCCACAGACTCAATCTGCACCGTCAGAGAAGGCAGAAGCGTCCAGGCCTTTTGGAACCTGCTAGAGCCACCACTGCTGGCAGCAAGCTATGAGGCCGGCTCTTCAAAGGGGAGGTGGGCTACATGGGCTACATAGTAGGCTCTTTCTGCTTATTTTTAAAGCCCCATTTAAAACAAAAAAAAAAACTCCCATGCATTTGCAGCTGTGATGAGGACTTGCAAAATTGGGGCCTGGCCCTGCCTCACAGAGGATGACCACGGCACCAGGTCCCAGCTCCCTGAGGGCTTGTCTCCGCATCAAGACAGCCTGGAACAGCTTTCTCCACCGCCTTTGTCAGGATTCCTGCTCTTGGTAGATCTGCATTCAGATACTGACCGTGGCGGTGCTGGTGGCTGCTTGGAAACTGGTCACAGGCTGACACTGTTCAGGATGCAGGCCCAGGGTGAAGGCCTTAGGCAGGTAGGCTCGGTGGTCCACCCCTGTGATTTCTGAGTGATGGGGGTTCCATCCACACAAGCTGAACCCTCTCACCTCAAACACAAGGTCCCGATGATCTTGCGTGGGTCTCTGTCCTATAGCGCCTCAGTGCATCTGGGAGAGAAGACACAGGCCATGGACGCTTCCCATCAAAGCTGGGGCGGGGACCCATCCCTCAGATCTGCCTCGTCACCACTGGTGCACACCCTCGAGGGTCTCAGGGCACTGCAGGCCACCTCTCGGCCTGGCTTCACGTGGGACCTTCTCCCTGGGCTTGATCCCCTGGACCCTGGGGCCCCCTGTGCTCCAGCAGAAAGCCAACTTCTTCCAATGTCTATTTTTTAGTACAGAAGCTTTCTTTTGCCTCTCAAAGAAGGCACCTCTTCATCCTTTGAAGGCACACTGGATTTTCTGCATCAGTTGAGTGATTCTAAGTCAAGAATGGTTTTGAGCTTTTCTCAAAGGCTGTGGTTAATACAAGCACAGGAGGTGCCTGGGGGAGAGGCAGTGGACAGCGCCTGGTCTGAGGGATGAGAAGGAAGCCTGCAGAGGGCGGCCTCAGGCCCTGTCCTCGGGGCTCTTCCCAGAGGCCCAGCTGCAGCCTGCGTAAAGGCAGCCGGAGCTGACGTTCAGCAGCATCCTTGGCCTCTGCCACGCTAACAAACGTCCCCAAACACTCCAAAATCGCGCAGGACTGAGAAGCACTGCTCTAAGGAATCTTGTGGGGACAGGGTGGGCCACTAAAAAGAACCCCGACTGTGTACTTGGAGCCTCTGGATAGGGGTTGGCACCAGGGGGGCAAGGCTGCAGCCACAGGCACAAAGCGTCCTTCCAGCACAGACGGTTCCGTGGCAGAGTTCCCAAGACCCCAAGGTGCTTCAGCCAGACTCAATCAGCCTTTTTCAAATTAGGTTACACGTACCACACCTACGAGGACATTTTACTCCATGGTGATGGCAAATTGCCCATAACACTATAACCAGAATTCACAGAGCAGAAAACAAAACATGCTGAATTACGTGCCCAAGCCCCAGCAGGGGCCGCTGTAAGCTGCTCCGCAGGCTACCAGGAGCAGGCGGTGGACCCTGCAGGGACACCTGTCTGGAAGTTCCCAGGTAATGACGGACTGGCCCCAGCCAACCTTGGAGCAAAGGCATCTAGAGGCCTGGAGCTGGGCCCTCTCTAGTGGCCGGGGACTGCCCTGCCGTCCCCGCCCTGCTTCCCTTTTGCTGGGAACAGTCAAGGAACCTACCCATCGCACTGCTGGTGGGTCAGACACCCAGGCCTATGACGGGCGTGGTTTTCTTTTTCTTTATTTGTCTACATTCAGCTTAATTCAGATGTGCTGCCTGAATGATCCAGACATACAAAAAAAACCCACTCTTTCCCACTGGTTTTTAAAATAAAATCTTCACTTATAAAACTGAAACACTAAAGCATTAAAATACAGAAAGCTTGTTTAACTCACTTCACAAAAGCATTAACAAATGACGTATCCCTTCTGTAACTATTTGAAGACAAACTGAGTTAACACTAATACCAATTGTAAATAGACAGAGGGATACTTAACTGTAAAAACTCAAAAAAACTACTTGGACAAAGTTGTAATGGCAACTAACAAACCACTGAAGACACGGAGTCCCAAACACAGCTAAATATGGGTCACAGGACGGGTCATGGGAGTGACCAGCTGCACCTCACAACACGGTAACGTGGACAGGGCAGGGCAGGGCGGAGAGGCCTGGGGGGGGCCGGCTGACATGTTAACTGTGATGCATAAAACTGAATCTTACAATGGGGTGGGGTAAGTGCAGAAGGTACAAATCTTCACCCCTCGGGGCTTTATCTGTACTGGTAGTTCATGCTGTGGTCTGCGTTTCTGCCGTAGCCGCCCTGTGAGGACTGGTAGGAGCTGGGAGGGCCGCTGTAACTCTGCCCGGACCCTGGGGAATTGTAGTTCGACTGTGATGAGTAGCCTCCTAAGGGAGAGAGGGCAGGTTAGAGGGGAGGGGCACGGCCCACCCCTGGGACCACAGCTTAGGACATGGCCAACCCAGCTGCGCCCACCAGCAAGCTGGCAACAGGTGGCTCCGCTTGCTCTAACTGCTGTTCCTGAGTCACCATGTCTGCTGGTCACCAGCTCCCTGTGAGGTGGGACCATCAGTCCCGGGTTTACGGTGAGGGCGGGGGGGTATCTGCCCAGGAGCAGATGTATCTGAAATGGGCTGTAATGGGCTGAGCCTGCCGTCCTGAACCAGGGGCCACCCATCGGGCTAACCCTCAGTGCCATCAGCATTTTTCCACAGAGGGGACAACATTTAGGAGTAGCCCAACTCCTAGGTGTCTGGCTTCTGAGAACCCAAGAAGCTGGAGGGGTGCCTAAGCCTGTGTTCTTTATGGGCTGGGTGCCCCCATCGCCCACTCTGTTTTGCCCCATATGGAGCCAGGCAGCAGCTGCCATGGTAGCCCCACCATCCTCACAGCATCTGCGTTCATCCCCAATGGCTCTGAGTTCATGACCCCCCATGTGGTGCCACCTGCCACTCCAGGCCCACCTTGTTTGCCTTGGTAGGAGCCGCCGCCCCCAGAGCCTCCACCGTAGCCCCCGTGTGACCCTGGGTTGTAGGATGACCCTCCTGAGCCATAGCTGCTCCCGCCGCTTCGGCCTCCACTACCACTGTAGTCTGGGGAGAGAAGACAGCGTGTTACAGGCCTGGGGCAGACATGGCTGGGGTGGCCCTGGTTTCTTATGCTGGGGCCCTCAAGGTGGCAGGCCCTTGTTTACACCCTAGGCCTCTGCAGCTCTCCCTGTCCTGACCACTTAAACTTGGCACCCGTGAGTCCGACCATGGAGTGCCAGGGTCCAGCTAGAATCCTGCAAGGCCACCGTACCCTGGGTCGGCTGGGTCACCAAGCTCTGAGGCCCAGGTCCATCCGCCTTCCCACCTGTTTGGGAGCTGCACAGTAGCCTGACTCCCACCAAGGCGGCACAGCTCCTGCAGTCCCCAGGCACACTGACCA